GCTGATCGTAGCCAATTGCAGGTGAGACGATTGTTTGTGCCCTCCACTAACAGCGAGTTGATGTGTGCCTTCCTTCGTCCAGCGCGACAATGTAGTCAAGAGCTTTCGAACCGGCCAAATATGGGTTTTGATATGTACGGAGCTGATCGGACGCGGTATGGATTTCAGGGGCGTCAACCTGGTCATCAACTACGATTTCCCACAATCTTCCATCAGCTACATCCATCGCATAGGTACGTTGCCTTCCAACTCGCTCAGCAGTCACGTTTTAATACATCCGATCATTTTATTTGCTTGAGCAACGGTGGTTGCTATGATCCAAATTCGAAACCATTTCAGAACATCTGAAGTAATAGACAAGCGATAAAAAAGAAATATAACAACTGCATCTGATCTCAAAGTTCCATAGATGAGCTAGAACTTTAGAACGACTTCACTGTTTTTCCGGTTACCAGAGAACCCTTTGATAAATGACAGAATTTAATAGCGAAATACTTCTCTTCTCGGTGATCAGAAGTTTCATCAACTGAATGTTCACCAGAAAAATTAGAAAGAGGTCAGCGAAACAAAAACGATTTTCAAATGATTAGTCATGATTTGTATTCATAATTCTAACATTTGTTTCGCATAGCTGTTTGGGGATGTTTCTTTAAGCTACGTGCAGTCGTACTGTACTGACAAAAATTCATGTTCATGCTATGTCTTCTTTGTTGAGTTGATTGGATCATGTACTTTCGATGTTCTGAGAAGTGTGCGGGGAATTATGTTACCTGCTGCAACTAATTAAGCCACCAAACTGCCCCTCTAGAGGGTTAGTGCGTAACTGTTTGTTTGTGGGTGCCTGGAGCTAACCTCTACTTGCTTGGGCTCCGTGATATTTCCTGCCTTACTGAAAAAGGATTACAGACTAATTAGAAGAGCGGTAACTATAATCCTCTGGATCAACGCCGAAGAAACAGTTGATCGATCGCAACAACAACGGCCAATCTGACCTCTCGTCTGAGACAGTCGCTCTTCACCGACTCCAACCACCCGTTGCACATGAAGTTCATTAAAGCATCCGGAGTTCGGAAACTTTACAGGTCTATCTCCCCTCCATTCATAGGGCTCTAACAAAGGTAAATTCTACTATTTATCGCCAAGGTTCCCCAGCAGCTGGCTGAATAGAGAAAGCTGCTTGTAAAGAGTTAATTCATGAGGTACTGGTAATATATTGTGTAAATGTAAATTTAACAATAAGTTTCTGTACCCTGTAATTTCTGTTCACATGGTGATAGGGCCACTCTATGCTAAAAGCAGCTGTGGTTGTTGTAGTAGATAAACTTGATTTGAGATTAGTTGCTAGGATTTAATGGTCTTAGGATCCGCAGGCGACCACTGCTTTGTCAGCGTTTTCATATCAATACAAAAATTTCGATTAAGCAGCACTGTTCATTGAATGCTTGCAAGAAAAAATCAAAATTTGGGACGGAGCTATACTGCTAGCATATGTATAGTCTCCTGTTTCCTTCCTACAAACTTGTTTTAATTTATCTACCTCAAAATACAAATAGGTCAGCGACCCGGGCTCAAACCTACGACCTTTCCGTTCTAAGTCATCCCTGTTATATTTTTCCAAATTTTCAGTGTTATTTCCAGCGAATTATCAAACTAATCTTAAATAAGCATCAAACTATGTAATAACTGCATCACCTCGTACCATATATCGATGGCATTGGAATCGCGGTTTTATTGAATCCAAATGCTGGTATTTTGTACTGTGTTACTTCTTTGCGCAGAATTGCTTTCTTGCCCTGAACAAAACTATATTACGGCAAAAACACTGAGTATTAAAAGTTTTTTTTTCTTGGTCACGTTTCATTCCATCAGACAGTTGAATGACGCAAATTAAGACGAATTTTTTGATGGCATCCTAGCAAACTCATACTTTTAATACTTTGGATAATCTGCATTTTAATTTCTAGTGTCTTGGATTATTAAATTGATAATCGGTCTTGGATTTTACGGAATTAGCATGTAACACTCTTCAGGGCGAACGGGAAGAGCGGGCCGGCCTGGCAAAGCCATAACTTTTTTCACAGAGGGCGACAGCGTACTCTTGAGAAGCATCGCCAGTGTCATGCGTGAGGCCGGGTGTGTCGTTCCTGATTATATGCTGCAACTGCGGAAAACTCCCAGGTAGAATAATGATGGTTGCTTGATCTTCGCCGGATTAAACGTTACTTTTATCTGCAAGGTCCATTAAGCAGATGGTCAAGCAGCAAGCCCCGAGTCGCGAGCACATCACTACAGTTCCGCTGCGATCATCGAAAAGGTCAGTGGATCAAAATCAGATCATAAAAATTTAATTAATTTAGTTTGAAATCTTTTATTGTTTAGGCATAAAATTGTGAAGAAACATGTGGTAAGACAGAAGGTCAATTCATCAGAATTGTCTGATCCTCTGGAACTAAAACACGATTAAAACTGTTCCTCCAGTAGACGCATTTGTGTCGACAAAACGGCCATCGTAACAACATCTTTGAAGAGGCTCCGTGTCAGGACAACCTTCTCATACGGAGGAATCATTTCATAAATTTAATGACCGCACGTAGAAAATACAGCAGTTCCACCTGAAGCCGAGCTTCGCAGAATAATATGTTGAAATGCACCTGAAACAAGAATAAATTTTAGTTAACCATTCAGCAGCATTCTTTAAGTCTCTAGTACATAAATGTGCACTTAGATAAAAAAAATATCAATCAATTATAATTTATTCAAAAAAGAATTTGTATTCTAACTGTCAACGATCTACTCAAAGGCTTTTTTCAGACATCATAATCTAGGGTACTATTTCTTTGACTGTAATCCTCAGATGATGATTACAGCAACAGCAACAAGCATATTTCTATTTCTATAGTATAAGATGGAGAAGAGGAAGAGAAGACTGCTTAGTTTCAGAGTGAATAGAAGGACTGAAGTAGTTAACACTTTTAACATTCGTCATAAACATGGACACATAAAGTAACAAATACCGTCTGATAACTTAATCAGATCAGTACCGATATATCGAAAGGAGGAGGCTCTTCCAACCAAAGGCTAAGCACAAAATTCTGACAAGTGCAATATGCATTATAAAAATAAAATACCACTAATATGCGAAATCAATAAAACAACAGTATTCAGCTGCTGAGAATGTTTGTCTAGAAAAAGGATAATCGGCAAACTTGGTGCTCAGATACAACAGTTAAATCTTTTCATCATGATGTCTGCACTTTGAACGGGAAAAAGCGACATGAACAAGATGAACGAGTACAAAAAACGCTTCATGAATCTAAATGAGTTATATTAGGAAGTAGAAGGGAAATAACATTGCTCAGCCTTACATGCTGATATCATCATTACTCTGAATAGGGGATTATTTCTGTCATCGCCATTATATCAAATGTCGTTTTTTGCGAAAACTACTGTAACAGTAAAAGTTAAGAATTTAGTGTGTTAAAATGGAAAGAGGGCATCGACCCTACTGAATAATTAGGATGGAGTTTTGTAATTTCGATGGGTATTTTGTTTACTAATAATAGATATGTCATACCGCAAAAACAACAACGCAAATAGCTAATTTTTCTAACCCCTTAACAGTTGCGTTTGTTGACAGCGAAAGCGACAGCCGTTTGAACTCTGAAGCTCTAAACGTAGACGCACGTGACCTACATGTCGACAAAAGGTTAAATGTCTTGAAAAATATATTAAGGAATATAATGTTAAGAAATATAATAGTTCATCATTTTTAATAAGTTATTAGCTTCGTAGCTATTTGTAGCATGTCTGATTTTAGAGCAGACAATAAGGAAGTGAGTTAAACCGTCGCCTCTCGTTATACAGACGTCAAAAAAGCACGTGTGAGAATAAGTGTTAGTTACAACAATACACTGTGTACACCTTAAAGTTGAGTAGACCGAACGAGTCGAGACTACTGAGGATCGATGGTTATAGCTACAGCGAAAGAAAAAAAATCCCAATACAGAAATACTGAGCGAAAAACTTATGACTGCGAAACAGCTGGTAAAGGCATACATTGTTGCATCGATCCTCTTCTTTGTCATTGTAACCGTCGTTGGTACGGGGACTGTGGCCCAATACTGCTAATTTAGATATACTGACGGTAGCCACTGTCCGGCTGCTGTCACATTCACCGGTTTTTACACTGCTGGTATACTTATGCCATACCCAACTACAATAATGATGTCCAACGGTGGTCATGCATCTTTGCATATATTACTACAGCAAGTAATTCCCGCTGCGAAAGTTCGATGGCAGCGTAACTGAAGTCCAGAATGCTACCGCGGCGGCCATTAACTGGCTTAGAAATCTTGACATTGAGCTATAAAGCTGCTAATCATCTCCCCCAACCATACGACAGAAGACTATAAGTAAGAACGAAGGAGCCAGTACTGGAATCATGACCAAATTATTAACGGTTCCTGACCATCTACCTTAATTTGGCGAAAATGTTTTAACATATTCACCAACTGACCTAAAAAGCACCACCACCGCTTACTTTTTCTGCTGTGTCGAAGTCAGCCAACGCACTGGAGGACAGGTACTTTGGGTTGCGTTCAGGAAAGCAACAAATAGTCTTTATATACGTCTTTATCTGCCGACTGAGCAACTTGTTCACTTCTGAGTATTCATAATCGTCGTGTCGAATGCCGTATAGGCTTTGTATGTAGTTCCAAATCGCGATACGGTATTTCGTGGTGTCCACGTTCTTGTGCTTTCCTATCCTATAGAAGACTGATCATGAAAAATGCTCGTAATGCTTCAGTTTCTTATCACATTTTTAAGAATGGTTAATCACCTTATTATTTCAAGAAATATATGCGTCAAAACATTTATAATTTTAATTTTAAAAGATCCGTCTATACTGCAGTACTAATCAGTATTAATCGCCATTCATTAAAGTTACTGGTCTTGACAGTGTTAACGACGAAATCAGCTACCAAAGTTTTTCACCTAGGCAGAATCTTTTACTACAGTGATTACCTATAGCGTTCCCATATTTTTTCTTCAATTACTATTGCCAATTTAACTTGTTTTCTTAAACGGATCTCTCTGCCGCTGGCTTTGCGTGCATACTGTTTACTTTGCGGCCCATGTTTACTATTTTACGCTGATAAAATGAGAATCGCTATAAGCGTGCGAAAACTTCATGTTCAGTAAATTATTACACCCTGGCTTACTATCTTTTCATATATTGTTTTTAGTGTTTCTGACCGGTTATGAGTGTAGAAGCAATAAATACTTCAAGTATGTGATTTACAAATTAGAAAATGTAACTTTACAAGATCCGCATTTTGTCAATACAAGAAAGGAAAATATATGGAACCACGATAACGAAACAAGCCCACTAGTAGAGACCCCTGACATCGATGTACTATCGGCCTGTATACTGAGGAAAGATTGATCTCACCCACACAGTACCCAAGAGATCGGAAACGTAACATTAAATCACGTCTGGCCCAACCACAGAACCAACCAAGAAACGTCCAAGCGGCTAAAGAAGTTCACCTTGTAGTAGAAAATCAAATCATCTAAGAACATAAGTAAAAATCTTATGGCTCTTTAAGGTCACCTTCCAACGGAAGGTCATTGCGGTATATTCTTAGAAATGGACCTCTGCCATAATGCCTCCGAAACGACAAATAACGAAGCGCGTGAAAAATATTTCAGTCATTAATGTTAGAAAAAAGAGTGATGGTGAGAGGTAGTCTGATATTGCTAATGCTATCCTTCACAATACTAGGAAGATATGACAGGCACATAGAGGATATGAAGAAATGACAGGCAATACTCCTTTGACCTAGCGACTCCCCGTGTTGAACATGTGGAGGCCTGAAATACGAATGCAGTAAAGTTGTCTAAGGGAATATGGCAAGATCCACATCTCTGTGAGAATCGAATGATGTCAATAGGACTAAGAAACCTTTTCCGACTTAACAGCCTTATGCCTGCTCTCAACGAATGGAGAATTACCCGAAAAAATTAAACCGTGCTAATTACGTTTGTGATTCATTACAGAATCATATCCTGAACGGAGTCGATAGATGTTAGACGAAATCAGGCACTAACCATCTCCACCACTGGTGGTAGAAACGCAGTCAGTCCTACGTTCTACTGCGGTCATTTCAGCAAACAATCGTCGGCTTGGTCAGTAAGGACGAAACTCAAAAAAAGGATTCATCGCCGAAGTAAAAGTAGAATGAACAGCACTGTTCGCGTAGAACTTAAAATTGAGCGGTGGCATTCTTTCTAAGGCTCGACAAGATCCAGAAGACGGCAATCCAGATATCCTTAGTTGTGTGACGCTCTCGGCCAAGACCACAACTGAGACCACTTGGACGCATGAAAGTAAAGACTGGCAGTATGAACTGTGTTCGCACTCACATGATCTCTGGTCAAGGAGCCACAGACAATGAAATGGTAATAACTACTGTAGCACTGAAATTTTCTTGTTAGCGTTTGCCTAACTGCCGGAGAACCGAGACCAGAGGAGAGACCTCATACTGTTGCCTCGTGTAATTTCATACGACACTGAACTATGAAAATGATGGATAAAAGAAATATAAATTTCATCGTCTGGATTAATGGTCAAAATAACCCTTTTCCAGAATTTCTGAAATGTAGTACTTCAATTTATCAACTGACTGCTTCAGAAATTGCAAGAAGTTCTAACAGTCGATGAAAATGTTCCAATCATCATCCTTACCTTTAGACATTAGCTGGTTTCCACTAGGAGAGCTAGAGGATGGCCTGCTGGAGGCCAGTGCGGCACCACGTTTCCCGGATTAAATTAAACATTTACACAATGGGTCGTTGAAGGTGTACTGAGCGCCATGTTGCTGTCCTAAAAAAGTTAACGGAGACGGCGCTGATCGCCTGAAATCAAAGAGTTTATCATCGTGAGTTCATAAGAAAGATCACATGAGAACCGCATAATCATGAGAGACTCCAGTACCTATGTAAAGCATATGAAACGGATCAAAAAAGTCTCATGACTCCACCACCCCTGAAGAGAGCGGTTTTATATATGTAGCACAAGGTTTTTGATGTTTGTGCGAGTTAACTAATTCGCTTAAAAGTAAAATCGTTAGCCAGGCATGAGTTAAAGGTCAGGCTGATGCAAGGCATCAACAATGAAGTTTCGGAAAACAACTTGCGCAACAGCAAAACTAGGTTATCAAAAAGGATACACTTACGTGTTATAAGTAAAAGACTGTATCATACTGAACTTCCGGTCAAGCACCTGACTGAGTGATGAATAAAACTGACTGATTACCGCGAAACCGTGATCTTCCCATGTACATTCCTTAAACAGTAAACGACTGTAACCAAGCCAGCAACCTCTAACGACGTGTTATCCACAGTTAATGTTCTACCTAGTTTACCAAGCAGGTTTCACGGAACATCTAAAAAATAAGAACAACAAGTGTTAAACTTAATGCAGCTAAATTTAGTTTTGGAGAAGCTGAGCGCCTGCCAACAGGCGCTCAAATAGCATGAGGATAGTATGTTCAAATGACCCCCCAAGGCAACAAGGAGTGAGGAAGCAGTACCATAAGCAGTGTAGCCCTGTGCTGCACCAGAGTAAGAGGCCAAAATTAAGATCGCTCATTTACGAACCCAGATTTATGTGCTTAAGCAGTAGTGTATTAGGGGTGTCAGTCGACAGAAACATTGTTGGTCATGAGCCTGCGATTGCTGTGACTGATAAAACAAAGCCATTTGCACAAAACATTGCAGGTGCTCCTGTGTAATGCAGCCGCCGACCTTGCTTAAACACTTTCTTTAGGAAAAAGAAGCAAGATAACGTGCGATATATTATGAAATTTAAGGAATTTTTAAGGAATCTAACTCGTTTAATTTTTTTGGGTTTACACTTTGTGCTCATTACCATATTAGGCAGTTAGTCGGGTCGTGAAGATGAAGTGCAGCCTTAAGTAGTGCTCGCCTTACGCTGCGTGACCGTACCTCTCGCCATTCTCAAATGACCATATCAGAACACAGTGCTGTCCGTGACGTTCATAAATCAACAATTTGGTGCTCGTTTCTCGGATGAACGCACTTATCGTCGTGAGGCGGGGCGAATTTCTTGCTCAAGGTAATGAACAGTGTTACGAATGCTTTTGTGATTCAAACCTGCACCTCCGAAGTTCTAAGACTTAAAGCCTGTCTTCTGCCACTGTGCTACCCTTCCTACGTCACTGACAAACCTTCAAAATCCTTAGAAGTAATCTGACAGCTGCATTTCGTTGGACCCTTTGCATGAACTACACTTTAAGATACCTCCACCGCGTCTGGATCATTTCAGTCCATGTATCAAAATCTGCTGGAAATGAACTTTAACTTACCTTACATCTACAAAATGTTGTATGACCTTAAAATTTTGTAAGAGGCAGTGTACAAGTCGGTAAAGTACCAACAACAACGTAGTATACTGTTTCGAAACTCAGCAACGCAACTTACGTGAATCTTGAAGGTGCGCGTGGCTGACGGGTTGTCGCGCAATACGAAGTCTTTGTACTGGAAACTGAGATCATCAG